CAATGTCTTGTTCTCTTTCTCTTACTGCACTCCCCATGTTAATTTACTATGATAATAACCATATAATATTAAATAATATCCACTGTGACAATTTATATTAATTTCTTAGTAAAAAAACTAACCGTTACAGTACCAGCCCCATAACGATGACTCCGTAAAAGCTCTTTGTGATAACATTCTGTAAATCGTCTAGCTACATCAACAATATCCAGATCTTGTTTCTCGATCAATGATTCAGCTAGAGAGCGTGTCATTGCCGAATCATCCGTATAGTCCATGACAGGTTCTGCAATTAAGAATTCTCTAAAAATTATATTATACAATATGTACATAAAGATGACGGCTTACTTTATATAAAACATTAAAGTGTGAAATTTCAGAGTTTTTACTTGTCGACTTTTACATTCAACATTTTACAAGGAGAAAATATAACAATTTAGCTACATCATATGTATAACAACAAACATAGTGTGTGTGTGTGCAGAACCTAGTAAAAATATTTTACTGAAAATACAGTGAGATTTTGCTGAAATGCATTTGAAAATGTTTCGATGCATTAAAAAATTTTAATTGATCCTGTTTCATTAGTTTTTCATCAATATTTCGGTAAGGATTTAGCGAAAAATTATTTCAAACATTTTCATTAGAAAGTAACGCAGTTTTTAATTAAATTACAGTAAATTTCGTATCTAACATTTCACAATTTTATTACTTTTCAACGGTAGATTTAAATTGTTCTTATATTTCAGAGTATTGTATTAAATTTTATAAGGAAAAATTTTTCACGACCTAACCTCTGAACTTTCTGTTCCATAATTTCTCCTGCCATTCTTGCAACTCAACTTTTCTGCGAGCCGACATAACTTTTAAGCCTTCACACGGACCTCCAAGGCAATCACCGACTAAAACGCCCAGCATCGTACCGCGAAACTTATTTTTCAGTAACATCGGGTCCATCCTCGATTGTTAAGGCCTTCACACATAAAATTCCGTAAGGACGTAAAACGTAAGCATAAGAAAATCGACCAATCACAGTCGAGAACGTAAGGCAATGACGTAAGCAGCAGCAAATCCAACCTGTTGATTTTCTTACGCTTACGTTTTACGTCCTTACGGAATTTTATGTGTGAAGGCCTTTACACTGAAATCCAACCTTATGACCACTGATCTCTATATATAACTGGATATGGCAATGGTAGAACGTGTGACCAATAGAACGCCGGAAGTTAGGTTAGAGTGTGGGCTGTGTCTACACTTCCGGGCGGAAAATTTAAATTGCTGAGTATAACATAATTAGAAATAGCCGAATATAAATAATAAAAAATGTATAATATACGTAATAATAAAAAAATAATTTATTTTATATAATTTAACATACCATAAATCGAGAAAGATTGTATAAAAATAAAAACAATTATTATTTTAATGCACATTTTGGATCATTTTTCTATTAAAATATATATCTATTTAATAAACAACTGTGCATTACACATTAAATTGCGTAAATTAAAAGAAACCTACATAAAATTAAATAACTTTTACAGTATGAAATATATTATTTGGAAAAGATGTATGTTAAATAAAGAGCTCTTGTAAAAAGTGAAAAGTTATTATAATCTAAATAATGACAACTCAAATATAAAAATATACATTAAAAATTATATATTATATTAATTAATTCAATTTATTAATTAAAATATTCTCAAATAATTAATAACCCATTTGTGGTAGTATTTATTTGTATATTTTTATATAACATTGTTTTCAGTACTTATTAAACATGACATATAATATTTATATGTATTTTATATCTTTTATTCTTTAGCATTTTTTAAACGTATCAATAATTACTGACAAACATCAAGGAATTTGTTAATATAAAATTTATGTATGTATTTATACAAATGTATAAATGTATTGTATTTATGTTTACAATACAAATCATTGTACAAATCATTTAAAATCTAAATCTATATATATACATATATACAATATAATTATTGATAGCTGAAAAAATAAACAAAGCTTCTTGAAATATTTAAAACAATATAAATCTCTAACTCATCATGCTAATCTTATACAATAATCGTGGTAGAATAAGTTCAACGAATGTTGTTTTTATATTCTTATGTTGTAAGTTACGATGCATTTATCCTTATGCTGTAAGTGACGTTGTAGTAATCCATGTTTGCAGCTGATAAAAAAATAATGATTATTAACATACATATATATATTACTGCAAACTTATTTAAGTAATACATAAATACATGTATAAAAAAATTTTCCATTTTTATATTAGATAACCACTTATCTAAAATATGTGGATTGTTTATAGGAAATCTAAAAGAAAACTCTTATTAATTATCAAATAAAATTTCATGATAATTGAAATGATAATAAACTTGAATGTTACACTCTTGCGTTTCCAATATTTGAAATATACGTAATTTCAATTAGCTCTTAGTAATACTGCTCATCTTTGCTTATTTTAAACAAAACAAATTTTATCCCATACAATAGAAAATAAAACCATAACATCACTTAAGTCATTTATAACTACAATTATATATTTCAATTTTATTTAAAAACAAGTTTTTTATAAACTATAAAAATTAGGAAAAAGAGAAAAATTCTATAACTTACTTATGAAATGTGCGAAATTTTATTCCCTTCTTCACCTTGCATATTGCACATTCAGATTTGTATTTGCTAAATATTGTTGGGACACTTCCTAATTTTAAACATTTTCGTTTATTTTTCATACAATAATGTTTTTCTTCGAAATGGTCAGAACATAGCCTAGTATCTCTGGATATCCTTACATCTGAGCCTACATTCATATTTTCGATCCATTTCTGAGCTAAATGTGGATATTTTTCTTTGTCTGGGAATCTGCGTATAAAAATTTTATTAATATATTATACACATTATTCAAATAATACACATAATGAAATACTAAGTATAGTATATAAATATAAATTATTTTTAAATATTAATTATATCTATACAGCTCATTATTTAACCAGATAAGAAGAAGTGGTGGACCTGGAATCAACGTTTTGTGCTCTGGTGATTACGAATAATTTCGTATTTAATATGGAAGCTTAACTGTAAGGATTTTTAATGGGTATAATACAAATCCGTTGAAAATTGACAGAACTTCATGGTATACATATATGTGTCAGTGAACTGGTTAAAATAATTTCATCTTATATTACACATATTATATTGTGAAATATAATATAAAATATTATCAACGAAAGAGTGTAAGTCGCCAGTAGTTTATTATCGGTAGGAAGAATTGTTCAACGACGTTTGGCTGGCAGATGTCTTTATTAGTTAGATTCCAACGTTTCGACCATACGGTTTGTGGTCCTTTTCAAGGAAATAGATGTTAAATAATAAATTAACTAAGATATATCAGAGGAACGGTCTACAATCCATCCTTGGGTGTCACTCGGAGAAAGGTGTTCGAAGGCACGTCAATCCGACGTAACGACCAAAGTAGAACTGAAGCAGTTCTGGGACTTCTGGGGAGCGATCGCGTGCACGATCGAATTCGATCGGTCGACTTCTCATACGTCTCTACTCTACAGGTTTCATGGTTCATGCTTATTTATTATAGGATAGTTTCCCTCAGACCATAGATTGATCATGTACGAAGAGTGGTATCGGATGGCATATTCCTTCTCGAATTCGAATTCGATCGGTGCACGTGATCGCTCCCCTGCTTCGGATTGACGTGCCTTCGAACACCTTTCTCCGAGTAACACCCAAGGATGGATTGTAGACCGTTCCTCTGATATATCTTTGTTAATTTATTATTTAACATCTATTTCCTTGAAAAGGACCACAAACCGTATGGTCGAAACGTTGGAATCTAACTAATAAAGACATCTGCCAGCCAAACGTCGTTGAACAATTCTTCCTACCGATAAAATATTATCATTGTGATAATATAAAATATAATATTATCATAATATTTTATATTATATTTCACAAAATGTTAAACTATGCAGACATAACCTTACTAACCTATGAAATGTTCTATCTTTATCACTTTGTTTTCCACAGTAAACACATTTTTGTACCATTTTTGAAACCTTTAAATCTAACTGTCTTTATTATCATAAAATTTTTTGTGTTAAATTCTGTATATATATGAGGTAATTGTATGACACAAAACCAAATCACGTAAGATCGTAAACAATAAGCGCCATGTTGTAGACGCAGCCCACCCCTTATGAAAAAATACACTCAATCATACGTTGACGCCCATGCAACAATTCGACGTCCTTTGGATGTCCGAAATATGTCTTGAAAAGTCCCGTTTATGTCGACGTCCCGTTTATGTCGACGGATGTCTAAAATACGTCTCAAGGACGTCGTTTGGACATCCAATGATAAAG